TAGGGTGGGGGAGACCCTAAAATTTTCGGCCAAAGCCCCCTAGAAACCTTAGATGCTTTCTTCTCTCTTTATAAGTACTATGAGCCCTCCTCCATGTGACCACTTTGAAATATATACATTTTAAGTGAGCATTTTTGTCTCAAGAAGCCTTCCTTAGTCTCTTAAGACCTCACGACCATATCTTCTCCTCTCTACCCTAGAGTGAGCTTGGGTTCCCTTGAGTGGCCTCCACTAACCCTTAGTGGAGAGAGCTAGCCAAGAGCACCAAAAACACCTTCCACTTATTCTTCTCCTTTATCACCCAATATTTTTTTTCATCACCCTTGATGAAACATCCAACCATCATTCTTCATCCTAATCCGTGGAGAAAGTGAGAGCTCCTCCTTGGAAGTCATTGGACGCACCATGGAAGGAAGGAGTCCATCATTTCACATATACCCATGGATGTGGCAATTTCACTCCCCCCTTACACGGAGTGATGATCCCATGATTTTATTGGCTCCTTGTAGCCCTAGCTTCTATTTTGCACTCTCTCCAATGGTGATGGAAACCTTATGGAGGAATCGAATTGATGTGGCTTCTTCTTCAAGTTTCTTCCTAGATCTTTTGCTTCTTGACACTCTTCAAGCTTCTTCAAGGTCTCTAATGGAGGAAGAGACCTCTAGTTTCACCTTTGAAGGTGACAAACTTTCTTCAAGTGGTGCCACTTCAAGGTAGAAGATAAACTTCTTCAACTCTCACCACATTCTTAGGAAGAGGATAAGAGAATTGGAAGTAAATCAAAGAAAGAATTTTAAATTTTTTAGAGAAAGAATTTAAAGAGAAATTCTCAACCAAAATTTGAATATGCATAAAAAGTTCCTACACAATGGAAAAAACTACAATATATAGAGTTTAGTTGGCTTATGGTACAAGCTAGACTAACCATGGTTAACTATAACCATGGTTGGCTATCTTTTGCCTGATTAAAAAACCCATAGTCTTACTTTAACTCACATGATCATTTTTTATCATATTTCTTCGCTTTTAGTACTTTTTGGGGCCATCGTCTGAATAATGTTCCTATTCCAGATATATCTTGTTTATTGCGGGTTGTTTGATGAGGCTTAGATTGAGAATTTAAAGAAAGAAAAGAAATGAATAGAAATAGCGAATGACATTAAAAGAAACTTTCAATTTACACGTGCCCTTTTATTGTAGCTCGTGGGCCCGGGTATATCCCGAGTTTGTGATTCATATATAGGGAAATAAAAAAGATTCCCCCTTTAGAGAAGCCTGGTTGGTCTGATTACCAAGACTGTTCCTCCACTTGCTTGGATACCGGTGCTTTGGAAGATCTCGTATAGAGTAGGACCACTCGACTTTTCTTTTCTATGTTTTGTTGTTGGTTCATACCCTAAGCCTCTTTGTCCTGAATTGCTTATGTAGTCTGGCAGTTCCGTTATTCCTTGGGCATCTATACCAAGTCCTTACCTTGATCGATAGTCGCTTTTGAACAAACTTTGAGCCACCAGGTTCCTTTTGCTTGAGATTTTCTCAACATGGGTGATTTCGAATGCTTGGAAAGTAGTCTCTAAAGCTTATTCTTCCGCATCCACATATGGGATAGTTAATGGTTTGTTATCGATCATGTCCTCCTCTGCTTGCATAATCATCAGCTTATCATTAATCACGAACTTGACCTTCTGATGTAGTGTGGAGGGTACCGCCTTTGCCTGGTGTATCCATGGCCTTCTGAGGAGACAATTATAAGCAAGAGCGATATCCATCACTTGGAATTTTACATTGAAAATGGTAGGCCCTACCTAAATAGGTAATGTGATCTCTCCCATCACTTCTCTTTAGGATCCATTGAAGGCTTGAACGATCATGTTGCTTGGTCGCATCTGGGCCTCTTTGATTAATAATTTGTCAAGAGTTCTCTTAGGTAGCACGTTTAAAGAGGACACATTGTCTACCATGACCTTGGCAATGAGAAACTCCTTACATTTTACAGAGATATGTAAAGGTTTGTTATGGTCAAATCGTCCATTTGGTATCTCATCATCTGTGAAAGTTAAGTGATCATTAGTCATGATGTGGCTAATGATCTTTTCAAATTTATCCTAGAGATGTGGTGAGTGACATAGGCTTCGTTTAAGACCTTTAATAGAGCCTTTCGGTGTGGCTCTAAGCTCATGCTCAGCGAAAGCAACATGATCTTTGATGGAGTATGGTTCAGTTGATCGATGATGGAATACTCGCTCTGTTACATAAATTTGAGGAGTTCCTCTTCTCCGTTAAATTCCTTTCTCTCCTCCTCTTCATCCTTTTCCTTAGGGACCTTGTTTTGTGATTCTATAGGAGTGTAGACTCGTCCAATCCTAGTCATTCGTCCAATCTCGATAATATTTGATGAATCCACGATTTATGAGCTTTGTACTTCCTAGATCCACGACACAACCTTGTCACTTTCATACGGAAAAGGAACAAGCGCTCGAATTGTTAATTTGGGCATGTTTTGCCCTTCGTCCTTTTGCATGCTTACTGGTTTTATATGGAGTGTTCCCCGATTTGATATGTCAGATTTACAGTTGATTACCAATGATTTCATTATCTGATTTAATATGCACAAATTAGATTTCCCTTTTTACATCTTCATTATTTATGAGGAGGGTGTTTTTTTCTAAATGAAATGCAATATAAGATGCAAAGACAGTTGAGAAATTCAATGAATATCATTCTTATTGATTTCTCCATTTAGAGAATATTCTCTATACAATGTTTTTCAATAAATTTTGACAATAACATAGAAGCTTAAAGAAACTTATTCTTGGTTGATACATAGATAAGTCATCTTTGGCTTCCAGAATATGTCTCTTTATTGCCTTTGCCTATTCATGGACCGCCTTACTCATGTTGTCGTAAATTGATTGTGCTTCCTTTTCCTTCTCTTATTGGTATCCCATCACAACTTTCAGCCCCTTTGATGGGTGACTTCTCTAAGTTGCTCAAGTCCTTTTTCTCCCTTTGTTAATAGCTAGAGATAGCGGTGACTCGTTCTTGAGTTATCTCTCACTAGACTCGAACTTCAGATTAGGCCATGGATAAGATTTCGTGTGCCTACTCCATTTCTCGTGCCTGTTCATGGAGCTTGACTTCGAGTTGTGATACCTTTGATAAATCAACTCTTGGAGTCTTCATCGGTTGTGTATTACAGCCGGGGCATTCATCTTTCAATCGCTCGATCTTCATGTCTAACTTCTTGTACTACCTTTGTAGACTATCAATATTAAGTTTGGATGCCTCATCTTTTTCCTCCAAAGCCACTACTTGAGCTTCCAAAACTTCTATCCTTTTAGTCAAGGCGTTGACTTGCTGTTGCTCGTGCTGGCTCATCAGTTTGGTTGTGCCCCTGACTCCCCTTTCACTCCTCCAATAGTTGTAATTGTCTGAAGAAGCTATTTGGGGTCTTCCAAGTTCGTCATCTCTAAAGTAGAATGGCATGTTCCACGCTTCCTTGATTGTGTCTATTAGTTGTTGCTAATTGGAAGAGTAAAAGAAATAAACTCCTCCGATGTTTCTTAGATTTGGCAAAGTTTGTGTCCTCCCGAGCTGCCTTAATGCTAGCGTCAGAGAGTAGGCTATGCAACCTCTTTGTCCCATTAAAGGTATGTTAGGGAACTTGCCACATCGAATTAGTACTTGACTTGGTCGAAACTATGGATACATCCATGCGAAGGAATCTACGATGCAATCCTCCAATTCGGCTTTTCAAGCCATGGCGTATTTCTTCAATACGGGAATTCTAAGAAAACTTCTCAATGAGTCAGATAGCTTTCCCATATCTCCCTTGGCGAAGAAGTGGGTGTACACCCAAACATAAAGTAATGGGTTGTAGCATCTCATCTGCTTTCTTGATTTTTGATTGCAGAAGTCTATAATAATCAGGGTGTCGACAAGAATGGCAGGCACGAGGCTCCTTAAGTGTGCATTCTAGGCAAATAAGGCGTTGATCGCGACGTGATCTATTACCTTTTTAAATTTATTAATTAAGGTTAAAAAGCCTACAATCAATTATAATACTATTATTTGAATATGAAAATTCAAAAATATTATTTAATTAATCTTTGTAGGATAGTATTTTTAAATCATGCACATGATAAATATTCATCAACAAAATATTCAGTATTTTAAAAATTGGATATTAATTACAAAATCAATAATTTATTGCTAAAATTATTTTAATAATATAGTATGAATGAGAAGAGTTTTCTTCCTTGAATCTCTTCTCGATAAGAGTATATAATTTGAAAATATGTTTTCTCCTTGTATTTGTTGGTCGAGTTTCTCATTCATTCTCTCTATCGGCTTCCTTCCCCTTCCCATTCTACTATCAATATATATCATTTTGTGGTGGTTGGGGAAAAGTTTATCTCACCCATGATAAATGCCAAATGCACTTACTAAAAACTAGATCTATTCAAACTCTTGCTTGAAGTTGAGAACCTTATTTTCTCCTTCTCCTATAAGCTCTAAAATCCTCCAAATGGAGTGATTATATATACATGTAAATAGTATAAAAATGTAATATATGTATCTTGTGGTCAAGTCTCCTATTTTATATACTAAAAAGATGTTACTGTGCATTAAAATTCATAATAAAAACATTATTCCTTATTAATGACAATATTAATCTTTACACGACATTAAGTTCTTTCTATCTTACTGCTAACATGTGATCAATCATATATGATATTTGATTTTATTAAAAAATATTCTTGTGAGATTCGTCTCTCTTTTTAAAAAAATTCATGTAGAATATTTTCCTATTCAATAAATCATATATTGGTGGCTTTATTACGATGCTATTATTATTTTTGTTTAGAAATTTCCTCGACATAAAAAAATATAATATAAATAAAAATGGGTTGATGCCTGATGGAATTCAAAAGTGGTACCTGGTGATGGTTGAATTAAGATATAATAACTCCAGATTTTGTAGTTGTAGTCTCATTTCCATGGATCCATCAAGGTCAGCAGAGTGGTCGGAACTCCCTGGTGAACTGCTCCAGCTAATATCGTGCCGTCTAGAAAGCCCACTCTACCGCCTCCGCCTCCGCTCCGTCTGCTCCTCATGGCGGTCCTCCACTCCCCCAACCCCCACCCTCC